GATATGGTGAGAAGGAAGAAATGGCAGGATTTGGACATAGCTTGGATGTTGTCCCTTATGCTTGGAATGCCCATCCTAGGTTAATCTGCAAAGCTCCTCCTTATCCCTCATTCCATTCCTCCCTGAAGACCCTTCTCTGCCATGCTGCCAATGTGTAACTTGCTAACTGACTATGTCAGGGTGAAGGAGGAAATTTTGTATTATTTATATCTTATTTTTGTACTAATTATATAAAAAAGCTACATTAAAAGACTGTTCAGATTGCAAAGTCAAGCCCTCCAAAGATAGAAAATGCCAGAATTAAAGCTGACTATGCAACCTTAATTTGGCTCCTCTTGCAAATATTCATTATGATACAATCTTTAATTACACAAAGGAAGGATGGTCCAGTGGTTAGGCCCTAGCCCAGGATTTGGAAAACATGGCTTCAAGTCCCTGTTCTGCCACAAATTTCTTGTGAGACGTTGGGCATGTCACTTAGCCTCTCTGTGCACCTCAATTCCCCATTTGTCAAATGAGGTGTAACACAGTCCTTGGTGGTTCCTCCCTCAGAGTGGGTGAACCTGACCATGCCCAATTATCTACACTGGGGTGGTCGCAACACCAGCCCCTCTTCCCTAATATCCGTGGCACAGGTAGGTGGGTACTGCCCTTTGTTGGCCTCCTTAAAAGTCTCTCCGGTTGGGGGAATCAAAATGGAAGTCACAAACCACCCACGCCTTCGGGATACTCTTGCCCTGAGATCCCAGAAGAAAGGAGGGGTGACTCTACAGTGCTGCCAACAATCTAGTCCCAAGGTAATGGGTTTGGGGAAATAGCTGTGGCTGGGTCTCTGTGACAGGCTCAGCCTGTCTGCGTTACCCTGCGAGTCTGCTATATGCTCCTCAGGGTTGGGGTGAAGGTCTCCTGCCTAGGCGTTCACTCTGGAGCATCAGGAGTCACTCCTGCAGTCTGGTGCCTTGCTTCCTGCAGTTCCCTCCCTTTTAAAGCCCTCCTCCCTATCAATGCATGATTGACAGGATGGAGAGGTGGAGCAAGCCCTGCTGCCGGGGCCTTTCTGGCCCCTTCCTGTTCATGTGGGGGCTGGATGCCCTATCACATGGGGATAATAGCACTGCCTCATCGGGCTGTTGTAGGGATAAATACATTAAAGATGGTGAAGCACTTTAAGATCTACTGATGAAAAGTTCTTGTAAGACCAGGTATGAGTACTATTAATATGGTCACATAATGTTTTTCCACAGGCCCCCTGCCTCATTCCATGAATGGGTAGCCATTCAATATTTATTTTTATTCTCCTTATTAAATGTGTCACCCAGGCCTTATTTACCTCACACCTGCACTGAATACAAAATCATTAATTTCCTCCCGGGCATTTCTGTCATGAGGGGCCGCTCCCCATCCAGCCCCTGCAACCCTCCCCCAGCTTCCTCCACCCCCACAGGGCCAGAGACCCGATCCCCATCCTTCCCCTGGCCTCCTGCATCCCTTGGAGCTGGGGACTTTCTCCCCATTCAGCCTCCCTGCAACCTTCTCCGCTCAGCCTCCTCAACCCCCTGGGGCTGGGGCCCCATTCCTTCTCCTCAGAGCCCCTGTGGAGGGGGCAGGAGCACTTCCCCAGCAGCTGGGCAGGGAGCCACTTCCTGCTCCTCAGAGCCCTGACTGCCAATAGATAGACTGTGGCGTAACTACAGTGGTGCCTAAGGTAGAGCGGCCTCTGCTGGTTGGGCCCCCATAACCTCATGGGCCCTAGTGCGACAGTATCACTTGCAGCATTGTAGCTACTATGCGTGTTGCACCCAGAAAATGAGGAACACATAGATCAGGAGTCAGCAACCCATGGTACGCGTGCCAAAGCCGGCACGCGAGCTGATTTTCAGTGGCACTCTGCTGCCGGCCTGGGGGGCTCTGCTGCTGGCCTCGGGTACCGGCTGCCGGCCCCACTCAGCCTACTGCCGGTCTCGGGTTCTTTCCACCGGCCCCCTGCCAGCCAGGGTCCTGGCCGGCCCCACTCAGCCTGCTGCCAGTCTGGGGTCCCGGCTGCCGGCTCCCTGCCAGCCGGGGTCCCGGCCGCCGCCCTGCTCAGTCCGCTGCTGACCTGGATGGACGGAATCCCAGGCCGGCAGCGGGCTGAGCGGGGCCAGCAGCCGGGACCGCAGCTGGCAGGGGCTGGCGGACAGAACCCCTGGTCGGCAGCGGGCTGAGTGGCTCAGCTCGCTGCCAGTCTGGGGTTCTGTCCACTGGCCCCTGTAAATGTAAAATGTATTACTGGCACGCGAAACCTTAAATTACAGTGAATAAATGAAGACTTGGCACACCACTTCTGAAAGGTTGCTGACCCCTGACATAGATTATAACAAACTGCAAAACCTTTGGTGTAGGTGACTTGCCTGGCATCACACAGGAACTCTGTGGCATATGCAGGAACAGAATCAATTTCTCCAGGGCAGCATTCAACTGCCTTACCCATGAGACCAGTTTTCTCTTCCTGCAATTCCCTGATTCATTCACTACACACCTTCCAACTCCTGCAACAAATGAGGCAGGGGTCCTACAGACAACAGCCTCCTTCACTACATAACCCTGATTCATTTTCACAGCACCATCTATTCCATGCAGTGAATGGGCCAGAGGTCCTGTGGACAAAAGAGTCTGTGATCATGTAATTGTATCATCATGTATAAATACATTGGAGATAATTAAGGTGGCGCAGGCAACCTTCATTCTGGCATTTCCTAACATACCAGTGCTTGACTTGGCAACCTTCCTGATATTTTAATGGATTTTTTTTTTTTGTAATATACATCTAGAGTAGTAAATTGTAGATAGATGTCTCACCTTTTTTCCTGTCCTCTGTGGTGTAGATTGTGAAAGCTCCAAACACGATAACAATATGTTTCCAGCTGATCCCTATACTTCGCTTCACAACAATTGCTTCCTTGCTCATACCTCCTCAACCTTCACCTTCTTTTTCTGCTCAGGATTTCATCAATTACGTTGCCAGCAAAGACATGATTAAGTGTTAGCCAATTAATACTTTTGATTGAAGATTATAATGTATTGAATACATTATTTCAACAATGCATACAGGACTCTTTTCCAGATCACCAACAGCTGAGGCTTTGTGTGAACCTGAAGCTTTTATCCAAACTTAACATGTTGATCCACAAAAAATACCAATTAGCTGACATTGTCTAAAAACTGATTTTTCATTTGACTGTACCAACCAACACATAGTAGCCACAGTGAAACAAACAGCAGAAATGGGATCATTCATGATAGGGATCAAAATTATATAAGCCAGTATTTGAAAGCTTAGTTTCTGGGCTTTGTAACCAAAGAGCAACCTTCTCACTTCTTTATGCTACTAGTTGATCAGCTAAACCACATATAAGCTGAACCTAACATAGCCCATCATATTCTGGTACATCAGTCCCATTCATCGCCTATACAGATAGTAGAATTACAGTATTATTGGTGGAAATATGTCTGTATTTAGAAAGATGGCACACCTGGATTATTGTGGCTTCACTGAAACAGAGTACAATGGATACAGATTTTTTTAGTGTAAAAGGATCACTACATTTGTTTTCTACATAGAAGGTGAAACTCTGGAAATCTAATTGAAAAAATGGGCTAGATCTTGCTGGATACAGATTCATGTTTGGATTTTTCAGGTGCTTATGTGTCAGGGTCCAGTCAGTGGAATTTATGTCTCTTTACCAAGTACATTTTTGATGGATGGGGCCAAAAATTGGCAGGATCTGGAAGGATTCTAATGCATATTTTTGCAGTACTGTTGCAACTAAGATATAGCAGGATTCAGATTTTTCAGGTAGAAAAGGAGTGCCTACTCTTATTCTGTTTAGCTGGTAGAAGCTGTTGGTTTAGGTCAAATATTAGTGGGATCCTACAGGTTTTAGGTGCAGGTTATATGTTGTACAAGGATATATCAAAGTCCAGATTAGTCTGGCAGAGTCAGAGCAGCTACATGGTTCTGAGTTAAGCTTATTCAGAATTTATGAGTTCAAGGCCAAAATCTGGTCAAGGCGTTGGATCTGGGGTTATGTGTTTTGCACAGGGTGTGTCTGGGTCTGGAATTTTAAGTGCAGTAGGAACATCCACATATGTTCTCTACTTAGGCATTGGAATTTGGGAGGTTGGGGCCAAAAATACAGCTTGGTCCAAGTGGTAGAGAGATGTTTTTGTGGCAGAATACTTAATGTTTTTGCTTTTACTGGTATGGCAATATGTGCTGATTCTTCTGACAGTATACCTTGGGGTCCTGGATCCAAAATCTGGCAGGATCCAGTAGGCTCTATATGTTGGATCCAAGTGCTTGCAATACTGTGGAGCTAGCATGCATGAAGGTTCAAGCTTTACTACAGTATTAGGAGTAGTAACATTGTTCTCTATTTAGACAATGGAATTTGTGGTTTGGGGGCCTAAACTTGGCAGGAGCCAACACAGAACATATGATGGATCTCAGTGCCTGCAGCATCATTGCACAACGAAATTTTGGTTTCTAGATTTTTCTTTGTGGAGCAAAAGCAGTTAGATGTGGTCTCCCTTTAGACAGTGGAAATTGGGGAGTTGGTAGCAAAAATTGGCTCGATCCAGCAAGATTCAGATGCTGAATCCAGCTTTTTGTGGCACTGCTATGCATCTGGGGCTGGAGTTTTTAGGTGGAATCAGAGCATCTAGTCTCTATTTATGCAGTGGAATTTGGGAGTCTGGTTCAAAAATTGGCTGGATCCAGCAGCCAAATACGTTTTTTCGCAGCCAGGATGCTCCAGGGTCTGGAATTTGTTGATGCCCTGGAGAAACTGATCTTTCTCGTTCTCTACACAGTCAGTAGCATTGTGGGCACTTGGGTCCAAAAATTGCCTGGCTGTGGCCGAATCCAAGAGGAGCCGGCCACATCCAGCTTTTACCCACACCCGCAAATGACCTGCACACAAGACACACAACGCAGCCGCGCTTAGCCAATGTCAGGCTGCACAGGGAGCAGCAGCAGCAGCACCGGGAGGAAGAGGAGGAGGAGGGCGCCTTGTACGCACGGCATGTAAACAATACATGTAAGTTAGCAAATAATGCTGAGTGGGAGCCGCAGCCCGAGGTGCTGAAGTGGATCGGGAGCTCCCCAGCCTGGACTTCTCCCCACACCCGTTTTCCAGCGGGAGGGAGGGACGGAGCCAGGCCCCGAGGGCGCGTGGGGAGCGCGGCGGCGGCGGCTGCAGGGAGCGAGCGAGCGAGCATGGCTTTCCAGCAGCTGGCGGACGTGGCGGAGAAGTGGTGCTCCAACACCCCCTTCGAGCTCATCGCCACCGAGGAGACGGAGCGGAGGATGGATTTCTACGCCGACCCCGGCGTCTCCTTCTACGTGCTGTGTCCGGACAGCGGCTGCGGGGACAATTTCGTAAGTAGCTGGGCTGGGGGTGCCCCGTACTGCTGCTCGCTCCTTAGCCGCCCTCTCCCCCGGCCTGCCTGCTTGGGTGGGACCCCGCGGGGAGCGCCTGGGGCCGCCCGGGCCGCCGGCCTGCTTGGGAGGGAGTGACCCGCCCCACCCCGCCGGCGGGCGCCGCCTCCCCTCGCTCTGTGGGGCTGGGCGCAGCCCGGTTGCCCTGCGGCTGGGGCGCAGTGGGCGGGCTCCCTGCCTCCCCGCGGGGCGGGCGGGGGGCTCCGGCCGCAGCGGCTGGGGAGGGGAGAGCGGGCCCCAGCCAGGCCGGGGACTGAGCTGCTGGCAAAGCCCGGCGAGGGAGCCGGGAGGGCGGCGGGGCTGGCAGAGCCCTTGGCTGGGGATGGGGGGGAGAGAGAATTCCCAGCCCGTAGCAAAAAGCTGCAAAATGGAGTCTGGTGCTGGGTGGTCATTGGCAGGCTGGGCTGCGGGGAGCAGCCACCACCCTATGGAGGCGGCCCCCGCCCCAGGTAGGGCAAGGAGCCACGGGGCCCTTCGCAGCACCCCGAGCCCCACCCTGTGCTGCTGGAGGAGTTGGGGGTTGGGCGAGGATGCAGGCCCCCGGGGGGTGGGGAGGAGCCTGAGGCCCCCTCTTGCTCCTGCGCTGTGGTTTGCTTATGGCTTGTGTACCACTAAGTGTGCTGCCCCCCTAGGCTGTGGTTGGGGGGCTGCTTTGCTGTCGCAGCAAATGGAGAATGTGGAGAATAAAATGGAGTCAGAATGACAGGCCTCCCATCCCCTATCTGGGGCTGTGTGAATTTACTCTTAGTCACCCTTGATCCTCCAGGAAACTGTTTCCTAAATATCCTTCCCCACTCCCATCTTGGTTACAGTGTGATGGGGGCAGGTGCTGGCCTTTCCTCTCCCCCAGCAGCCTCAGTTGCCTGCACATCCTGACCTGCTGGAGTTCAGCAGCAAGTTCCTACAACGATGGTAACAAAAATGGCTTCAGGATCAAGAAGGTGTTCTCCCCCCAACTCCAACATCTTAGTGTTGAATGGGAAAACCTGACCTTTACTGCAGGGTTTATAAATTGTAAAGCTCCAGTTCAGTATACATAAAAGAATGTTTTTTTTTAAAATGGCTTCTAGCATTATTGAAGAAATGCCATAGCACGTTAATTCATAGCACCTTACATCCCTCAATCTGCTATACAAATGTTAGCAAGTTCTCCCTCGTAAAACCTCTGATAGATAGGTGCAATAAGAACCCATTTTACAGCTGGGTAAATGGAGACAAAGTGCAGTAAGTGACATGCCCAAAGAGCACAAAACCCAATCGGAAGATACTTATTTCTCACATTGTGCAGATGGTGTTGCAGAATTACAAATCAGGAGACGGTGTAGAGTTTAACTGAAGGACTAATGTATCCACCAGCTACTGTATAACAAAAGTCAGGATTCTGCCAGTGTGTGGAGGCCCTTTTGCCCATTGCAGGACTGGATCCTGACACCCCCAAACCTGCAAACACCTATGCATGTGTACAACTCCCTGTAGGACCAGGCCTAAATGGCCACATCCTTCAACTGGATACCTGCAGGTGAGCCCCTGAGGCAATGCCAAGCCCCACTGAAGTCAGTAGCACTTTTGGGGCACTCATGTAGATCCAATTGCAGGATCTGGGCTAAGACTATAATTCCATCTAGAGATTCTAATGATATCCTACATCACAGAGAAAGCTCATGTGTTTCTTATTTATGTGTTGTATTGTATTGTTATATAATCCACATTAGTTGAAATCTAGTCAATTAAAAAAACCCCAAACCACAAAAGTATAAGTAGTTTCAGATCGTATTCCTGCCCCTGTACTATCCTGCCAATTTTTGTGGTTTTACAACCACATTTTCTTTTTTCTTCCCAGTTCTGTTTGAAAGGCTCCATCCCCCCAACCCAAAGCTACCAGAAAAACAGAGAACTATGTTTCTCCAATCTTTCAGCTGTAGTCCCCTCAGGAGGACTTTTAGCATTAGTCCTCTTACAAAAAAGACAGGAATGATTTTTCCTCAGTTGATGATGTCTCTTTAGTATAACAGCTCAGAACTAATAATCATCTGTTCCCCATATTAATTATACCAGCCTGACAGACTCATTTTTGCAGACTCTTTTTTTAAATGTTCCAAAAGACAGTTTTCATTATATGTGGAACTGTGTATTAAAGTTCATTGTAAGAAAACAATAAAAACTTGGGGCCTGATTCTCATTTGCACTAAGGACCCTTCCTATTTGGCCACATGAATGGGTCTGACTTTAATTTATGTCAACTTCCAGGCCCATTTTCACTGCCAGAATGGTGTAATTACATGCTTTGAGGCCTCTTTACACTGTCAGAGTGTTGTAAAGGGGTCAAAGGGCATGTCTGCACTTCAAGTGTGATTGTAGCATAGGTAGGCATACCCATGCTAGCTTTAATTTAGCTAGCATGAGAAACAAATCAGACCTGCATTTGCAGTGTAGATATACTCTAAGTATAAATGAGAATCAGGCCCATAGTGTTTTCATCACTTTTCTTTACATGTTCATTTCAGAATAAGGAAGAGACTTCAACAGAGTACATAGGGCAGAGGTCCCCAAACTGTGCGGCGTGCCCCCCTTGGGGGATGCAGAGGAATGTTTGGGGGTGCGGGGCCTGGGCCAGCCCCCAATTGGGTCGGGAGGGAGCACCACCCTTCCCCGAGCTCTGCTCCAGCCACGACCCAGGCCCATCCCCAGCTTTGGCCACGGCTCCGCACCCAGCTGCAGGCCCCGCTGCAGATCTGCTTCCTGCCCCACCTGCAGCCACAGCTCCATTGCCAGCCTGGGGCAGGGAGCAGAGCCACACCCATCCGCGGACCCAGCTGTGGTTCTGCTCCTGCCCTGGCTGCAGCTCTGTTCCTAGCCCCGGCCCCAGACCCACTCCCAGGGAGCCAGGCTCCCGGGGGGTACGAGGACAGGGGTAAGGGAGGGGCACGACCCTGAAAAGTTTGGGGACCACTGACATAGGGGGTGCCAGAGATGTATGTGATAAATCATGAACTTTGAAGGATGAAATGATTAATTAGAAGAGTGTGACAGAAGGAAGAGGAAGACCAGTAAGGGCAGGGGGTAGTTGAGAAATAGATGGGGAAAATAATAACCATGCATGAAATCAGAAATTCCCCAAACTGTGGCCCACAAAGCACTTAGTAGTGGTCTAGAGGGAACTGGCTAGTCAATGGGTGTAGGTGATTCCTCCTAGTTTGCACCTGCTGAATTACATTAAAAGAAGCTAAACATATATTAAATACTTTCCTAATACTACTTTTCCACTTAAGCAATTGCTGTAGTTGCCACGGGAATGTTGTGTGATTGTGAATGCAAAGGATGTGGTCCATAAAGCAAGCCCTGTTAAGATGTGGTTCACACTATGAAAATATTTGAGAACTCCAGTATTGCATAGTTTTAATTACATGAGAAGATCTCTAAGGGCTAGATTTTAAGAAGTATTTAGGCGCCTTACAATGCAGATAGGCACCTAGTGGGATCTTCAAAAGCACCTGAGGTGCCTTCTACACTAGGCATCTAGCTGCACTTTAGGTACTTAAGTACCTTTAACATCTGGGCCTTAATCTCTGCTTTTATAGGTTACAGTGTCCCCCAAATACTTCATTGGATTTGCTATATAACCTTACCCAGTATGGGTGAGGGTGGAATAAGTTATTATTTATATTATGTATTCTCTGTTGTCCCTTTGTTATTTCTAGTATTCATACTAAATGATACTACAAGTACCAACTTTGCGTTATCTTATTACAAGATTTCCTCTAATATATCTTAGCACAGAATCAGTTAGTCTGAATACTCTTCATCAACAAAATTACCTCAGTAAAGATAAAATGCTATACTAGCATGCTCAACAGGTAGGTTTTGAAAAAAGTGATCTGATAAATATCGTTTAATACTGCTGAACCCACTAAAGACTGAATGGAAAAACCTTCAAGCGTTATACAATGAACTGCTTCAGCCTTGCTTTCCAAAGATTGCATGCTGTATGCACAGATGCTGAATTAAATATTTCAACCTTGATCCTGGGTCAGCTGAGGTTGAAATTAGTAGCTGTGTGCTTTTGTGTTAACACAAAGCAACCAGGAGCAAAATAGATCTAGCCTGAAAACAACTTATCTGGAGGATGAGGTTTACCTTTTCCTTATTGCTCTGCCACAATTAAACTCTGTTACCCCAGCTTACCAGCAGGCTGTTTTCCCTATTGCAAAGAGATTGCAGAGATTTAGTGGGTTTCTCAACAAAAGCATCCTCTGTGTGTGTGCAGTTTTTAAGTCTTGCTATACCTTCCAAAGCAAGAGCTGAATCTTCATTTTTCATTTATCTTACTGTGAAAGACAAATTCCTTTTACAGGTTCTTTTGGAGACTCGTGAATCAGACTGTTTAGATTCACATTCTTAAGTTGCTGCATGCATCAGTACTGAACTTGCAGAAAAGACTGTAGGTGCAGCTTTATTAGATATCATGATAATACTTTCATGTTTTCTTTTGGTAGATGAAACCAAGCCTTTCCCATATGAGATGCTTCCATAATACGTTTGTTGCTACAACCAAAATTTTAAATCTTCCGCAGATGTGGAAATCGCTGGTAGCCTTAATTGCTTATTGCTTTACACCGTTAAAAAAAAAAAATCTCTTTGAAGACTAAAAGATTTTCTGATGAGTAATTTGCTTGAGTTTTCCCTCGTGCACCAGACCAGTTTATTTTGAGCAAATGCTGATAAATTTACAGTGGAGTTTAAAATGTGGTGGGACTCTGACTCTGTAAAAAATAGCACTGTGAGGTTACATGGGATTAAATTTCCCTGTAAAAAACATATTTTTGTCACTAAAATGGGCAGGTATGACTCCGGACAAATACCAGAAGCAAATCTACTCAGTAAGAAGGGGCCATTTTTACATGTATTGGCAGAAATTTCACTTCAGAAACACACACTACTTTTGTAAACTGTAACAGGCATCAAAGAAAATGTAGGTCAAGTGAGGTTAGTACAAAGGTAGTTATAATTTTTCTTTTTAAAGAGATAGCTTAGCTGATGCTTTGCAATCTCTTAATTGTAGAAACCTAGAACTTAATTCATGTCAGCTAATTTATACTGACTAGGAAATAAGTTTGCATGTTATGGATTGAGACTTTTTTATTCTTATTCTTTCCTTAATATTAGTTTAATTTCAGAGTTTCTACTCTACCCTTATTTAGTGTAGCCTACTGTTCATGTACTAACAGATACATTAGATGCACAGTACTTTGGGGGGAACGTAAGGGAAGTTGTAGCATCTACCTTTCCATGCAGCTTTATGCTTCTGTCATTAGAATCTCAGTGAGAAAGGCATTCAGAAAGCATCCTGTAAACAGTGTTTTCACCCTGCACTTCCATGTAAATCAGATCCCTGTTTGAAGGCTTTCGTCAGCACTTGCATGCAGTCTTTTTCAAACAACATTGTATTGGCAGAATATGCAGGGGTTACAGGAAAGGTTGAAGGCCTGGAGTTTCATAGAACCGGGCTATGGGACAGGTCAGAGTACCCCATGGACATACTCAGGATTCTATTTCTTCTTGTGCATCATCAGGAGAGTTGTTTACCAAATTACAGGGTCAAACAACCTGAAAAAGAATGAGATTGCTCATGTGTTGCTGGGGGCGTTATTACGGCAGATGATGCATCAGAAGGAAAAACCTCATCTTGACTTTCAGATCCCAAGCTGAGTTTGCAGGGCTGATGTTAAACAAAAGCAACTTTACTTGTAAAATGATATACATGAGGCAATGTGTAGATGGGACGTGTATTTGGGACATTCTGATTCCCCACCCTGGTTCAATCATGAACAGTGTATTTTCTAATTTATTTCCAAGCCTTCGTCCTTTTCTCTATCTCCTGGTATATTGTGCTAATGCAACCAAGTTGGATCTCTGGAGGCTTTAAAAATGTGGGACCATACCCAGTTCCTGAAGTAAAGCAATATCTGTATCCCTAGTACAAATTTAAATTGCAGGTCCAGTACACCTTGGTACATCTTTAAACCATACATCTTATAAAATCATATGAAAAACTCCACATGAATTCCTATTAACTCCTGTTCTTTCTTTCATTGCTATTGTCTTTTAGCATGTGTGGAGTGAAAGTGAGGACTGCTTACCTTTCCTGCAGTTGGCACAGGACTACATCTCTTCCTGTGGTAAAAAGACACTCCATGAAATACTGGAAAAAGTCTTCAAATCTTTCAGGCCTGTAGGTGCATGTTTTACTTCTATATATTTACTATATTTGTGATTTTTAATAAAATGTGCCATTGAGAACAAGACAGATTTTTCACAATGGCTTATTTGTCCAGTCAAGTAGCTCAAACAAGCTAACAGTGAGTACAGGGAGCCTGTTCTTGTAAATCAGATGCCTTTTTATTTCTAGCTTCTTGTTTGACAAATTGAGATTCCCTGCTGTGGTGGGAAGCAAATTGATGTCCCAGCCAGTGGAACTGGCACCACACCCTGATGATGAATTGTACATGGTTGATCAAGCACTGAGTCTGAAGAATGGAATTAAAAATTTTATTAAAGCTAATGTTAAAAAAAATTATATAATACATAGGTTGGGAAAAGAGTGTCTGTACATCTGGGTATAGCACTTAGATGATCCACAAATATAATGTTAGTTTTTAAAAGTCATATGATACATAGAGTACATAATCAGCAATAACCCAAATTTAGGTGAATAGATTTAACAATACAGTTTAGATATTAGAATCCGAATACTCGGGTACATCACTCATGAAAAGTTGTAAAGAGATTTGGTTGTGGAAAGCAAAATATATCAATGAGTGGAGATTGTCCCTCAGTAATTGAGAATTAGGTTGGTTGTCCATTTAGAAAATACAGTCCATGAGGAAAGTATTTGTTACTTTCCTGACTGTGCTTCTCATCAGCACTCCAGCTCATCCCTTCTGGTATTGCCGATGTCCGGTGATGTGTTCTATGTAGTTGTCCCTTGATCACCTGACATCATGAGTTGCCGCATCAGCCGAGCATAGTGTTGACCAATTCCGCATTCTCTCAGCACTCACTCGTTACTGGGGTCCCATGCGCTACAAAGCTATGTAGGACTTGGTGGCAGAGTCATTTCCCGGCACTGGAATTTGGGAGTTTTTCAAGGATCTGTATAAAGCAAATACAGTTTGGGGAGGCAGAGGGGGACAAAACTGTAAGTTCAGATTTTAGCCTTGAGATCACCTGATAGTTGAGATAGCTCAGGATAGTGTCTCAGCAAGTGAGTGGAATAGTAATAGTTTGACTTTTTTGTTTATTTTTGTTTTGTTATATTTTGCTCTTAACATTTTCTGCTCATCAGTCCTTATATAGCGCTGAGATGTATAGGGCTAAGATACCTCATGTTACTGTACTAGCCATCTGCTGCCAGAGACCTATATTAAAACGTGGCTTTTGTCAAAGTGAAGAGAATTTGGTGGTCTCAGCATAGTCCCGACTGGACATTTGTCTTGCTAAACTACCACATAATATAGCATATTGTCAGCCTCTCCTCTTGAGTGGCCTAGGAGTGGAATAACTGGAGTGTCATAGAGAAGAGTAGAGGTTTATTGGCAGAGTCATGTGCTTTCACTATGTCTGCTTAGATCAGGCGGCACACAAGCTGATTTTCAGTGACACTCACACTGCCCAGGTCCTGGCCACCAGTCCGGAGGGCTCTGCATTTTAATTTAATTTTAAATGAAGCTTCTTAAACATTTTAAAAACCTTATTTACTTTACATACAACAATAGTTTAGTTATATATTATAGACTTATAGAAAGAGACCTTCTAAAAACATTAAAATGTATTACTGGCACGTGAAACCTTAAATTAGAGTGTATAAATGAAGACTTGGCACACCACTTCTGAAAGGTTGCCGACCCCTGGCTTAGATCATGTCAGTAAGCGAAGCTGGTTATGTTTTTGAACTGTTGATGAAAAATGAAACATTTTAGACAATTTTTTTCTCACTTTTTTTGATGATATTTTGACCAGCTGATCATGAGGACTAAACTTCATCCCAAGAGTTTAATACAAAAGGCAAGTGGCCAGGAGGGTGCCTATGAAATACTGGGCCTCCTTTACTCTGTGTTGGAACCTTAAAAGGCCAACTGCCAACTTCAGTGGCAACTGTGAAAGAACTTAGTTTAAAAAAATCCATCTAGAGAGCAGAGGTGAATAGAGCCGATGCACACTTTTCTTAGAAGGGACTGGAAATTCGATCCATCCGTGCAGCTACTCTAATTATGGTAAACGTATAAAAATACACTTCCCAGAACAATGTCCATCCCTTGAGAGAGATTTTCTTTCCCTCAATGTAGCTTAAAGCCTTGTCTACACAAGAAAGTTCCAGCTGTTTAACTAAAGGAGTGGTTTCAAACCAAATTAGTTAAACTGATGCGAACCCCAGTTTGGACACTCGTGTTTCTGTTTAAATCAGGTTTATTTAAGTTTAGCTTAAGTCTATTAGGAGTTGGTTTAAAATAAACCAAATTAAGCCACTCTTAAACTGAAGAAATAAAAGGTAATAGATTCTAAGGCCAGAAAAGACCATTGTGATCATCTAATCTGACCTCCTGTGTAAAACAAGTCATAGTATTTCACAGAGTAATTCCTGCATCAAGCCCATAAATTCTGGTTTAGCCGCAGTGTATCTTTTAAAAAGATATCCAGTCTTGATTTAAAGACTACATGTGGCTGAAATCAACCACATCCCTAGATAATTAGTCATTGGAAATAAGTTCCCCTCACTATGACAAACTTGCTCATTTCTAGTCTGAATTAGTCTAATTTCAGTTTCCAACCATTGGATCTTATTATGCCTTTTTTGCTAGATCAGATTACCAGAAATCTCTTCCCCATATACTTATAGAGTGTGATCAAGTCACCTGTTAACTTTCTCTTGGATGGACTAAATTGAGCTTATTTAGTCTCTTCCTAGCAAAAAATCAAATAATAAAATTCCCACAAAACTCATTGCTTTTTTGGTGTTCTGCATCCTTGTCTCATTTCCTCAAACACACCTGTTTCTACTATGCCATTTTAGTTCCTGAATACAGGTTGTGAAGCATTTATGCTGGTAGTTCTAAGCACCTATCTTTTTGTCTGGCCATTGATTCCTGATGTGAAAGAATTAATGCATCCACATTATTTTTAGAGTAGAATCATTGTATTTCTTAGGCCATATATATACATATTTTAATATTTGTTTGTTAGATTTTGATTAAATATATTATCACCTTCCCCCAGGTCTGCTGTTTACAAACTATTGGATTATTTAGATACCACCATGAGTGTACAAGACACTTTGCACTAGTTAAAATATACAAGATAAAAAAAATCCTGGGAACGTAGTCCCTACCCAAAGCATTTATTTACAGCTGAATCATATACCCTAAATACAAATGACTGTTACTGTTCTCTGGTTAGATGTACTAGCAACATCTTTCTGCAAATTCCAGTCCTCTGACAATGTGTGGTACCTTCAGTATGAAAGACTAAATACAACTAGGACATTTTCTGTGTAAAAGCTGATATGCTCATGGCCTTCAATCTTATGTAAGACTCAGAGATCGACCCACTTCACCCCAAAATCCCTGATAGATGAATAGCATGGACTGAATGAATAAATAAACTTTGGACTCTGGATTGTTTTCTCATCACTTGCTGTATTGTGATTGCTTGTTGGTCTTCCTTCATCCAGCCCATCTCTTCCTGGTGCACTCCTTCAGCTGGCTGGACTAGCTCTCCATGCCCATTAAGCTTCTGTCCCTCCTCCATTTTTCCTCCTCTCTCTTCTGCCCTGTTCTGCTCACCTCCTCATTTTCTCTCTCCTTTTATCCATTCCCCTCTCTTGTTCCAGCCTTCCCTTCTTCCACCACTTCAACCCACAATGCCCCCCCAAACACACTAAAACCAAGATTTTGTAATATAAATAGGACAGATATATTAAACTGATATGTTTAAAAGAAAAATGACATGATGCTAATGTGCTGTCGCTGCCATCACCCTGATCACATTATTCCCTGTTCTATCCCTTTGCCCCAATCTCCTTCTGCTTCTTTGTAAACACTTTAAGGCAGGGACTGGGTCTTCCTAAATGCTTGTACAGGTGCCTAGTGCTTTGGGCCCAGATCCTGATTGGGCCCTTTGATCGCTGCTGCAGTATAAATAATAACAAAGGGTAAATTTTTCCAAAGGCGCTATGTGATGTAGAAGTGTAGCTCCCATTGAAAGTAAAGAGACTTTGGCACCTAACTGCCCAAGTCATGTTTGAAAATGGCACGTAGGCTCCTAAGTCACCTAGGCCCAGATTCTCAGAGGCATTTAGGTACCTAACGTCCATGGATTTAATCCCCTAAGGATTTCAGAGAGGACTAGCAAGGTGCTTCTTTGGAGTAGACTCCTCCCTTAACTGATTAATTTTATATAACAAGTACAGCGTGTGTGTGTGTGTGTGTGTGAGAGAGAGAGATCCGTAGGTCCCCAGCCTCTCTCTACAGAAGCAGAGCCCTGTTGTTTGTCCTTTTTGACCCTCATGATATGTTTATATTTCATTATGCTTCTTGTGCTAATTTTGCAGGCAAAGAGCTAGAAACTCCCCTCACCCCCAATATAAGGTTAAGATGCTCATTCATGTGATTAGTTTTCCCTCAGATCAAGGGATGGTGGGCCCAAAAACCATGAGCTTTGCTGGGCCCAAAGGCCACAGCTGGATATTGTCCTTGTGTCCATTGAATAGTTTTGAATGCAAAAATATAATAAACTAGCTTACATTTTTAAAAGTTAGCCTTGTAATTTTCATATCCCTGTATAAAAATTTCCCTTTCCTGGTGGAGATGGTTTTTTTTTCCCCTCCTCTGAGACAACAGCTGAATCCCTCTCCAAGGAAGGTGCAGCGTGTGTCTGTGGTTGCTCTTTCAGTCTTAGCAGGCTAAATACCTAGTATTATCAATAAGGTGTAGCATATGATTTTGCTTTGCAGATATTGATAGCTGTTTGTGTAAGTTTTGTGAGGTATGAGATTTTCAAAGCAGATGCATTGTTTTGACTGGGATGTGTTTATGTATTCCTGAATTTCATTGGTTTGCCAGTCTCTTTTTGGAGGAAGAGGGAAAAGTTCAAACAGTTTTTCCATCTTCTAAAACAAACAGTTGCCATTACAGTGATCTGAAACATTATAGAGCTGAGGCATCCAAACTTTGCCCAACTGAAAGATGTATTGGTACTAGGACTGTTGATTTAATTGCAGTTAACTTACACGATTAACTCAAAAAAATTAATCGCGATTAATCACACTGTTAAACAATAGAATACCAGTTGAAATTTATTAAATTTCTTTGATTTTTTTCTACATTTTAAAATATATCGATTTCAATTACAACATAGAATACAAAGTGTACAGTGCTCACTTTATATAATTTTTTATTACAAATATTTGCACTGTAAAAATGATATCGTATTTTTCAATTCACCTCATACAAGTACTGTTGTGCAATCTCTTGATCATGAAAGTACAACTTACAAATGTTGTTTTTTTGTTATGTAACTGCACTCAAAAACAAAACAATGTAAAACTTCAGAGCCTACAAGTCTACTCAGTCCTACTTCTTGTTCAGCCAATCGCTAGACACAGGTTTGTTTACATTTATGGGAGATAATGCTGCCCACTTCTTAATTACAGTGTCACAGGCATTCGCATGGCACTGTTGTAGCTGGTGTTGCAAGATATTTACGTGCCTCATGTACTAAAGATTCATATGCCTCTTCATGCTTAGGCCATCGTTATAGAGGACATGCTTCCATGCTGATGATGTTCATTAATTAAATTTGTGACTGAACTCCTTGGGGGGGGGGGGAGAATTGTATGTCTCCTGCTCTGTTTTACCCACATTCTGCCATATATTTCATGTTATAGCAGTCTTGGATGATGACCCAGCACATGTTCATTTTAAGAACACTTTCACTGCAAATTTGACAAAATGCAAAGAAGATGTGAAATTTCTAAAGATAGCTACAGCACTTGACCCAAGATTTAAGAATCTGAAGTGCCTTCCAAAATCTGAGGAGGATGAGGTGTGGAGCATGCTTTCAGAAGTCTTAAAAGAGCAACACTGATGTGGAAACTACAGAACCCAAACCACCAAAAAAGAAAATCAACCTTCTGCTGGTGGCATCTGTCTCAGATAATGAAAATGAACATGCGTCGGTCTGCACTGCTTTGGATCGTTATCAAGCAGAACCCGTCATCAGCATGGACGTGTGTCCTCTGGAATGGTGGTTGAAGCATGAAGAGACATATGAATCTTTAGTGTGTCTGGCATGTAAATATCTTGCAACACCGTCTATAACAGTGCCATGCAAATGCCTGTTCTCACTTTCAGGTGACATTATAAATAAGAAATGGGCAGCATTATCTTTTGCAAATGCAAACAAACTTGTTTGTCTTAGTGATTGGCTGAACAAGAAGTAGGACTGAGTGGATTTGTAATCTCTAAAGTTTTACATTGTTTTATTTTTGAATGCAGGATTTTTTTGTACATAATTCTACATTTTTAAGTTCAACTTTCATGATAAATAGATTGCACTACAGTACTTGTATGAGGTGAATTGAAATACTATTTCTTTCGTTTTTTACAGTGCAAATATTTGAAATCAAAAATAAATATAAAGTGAGCACTCTTCACTTTGTATTCTGTGTTGTAATTGAAATCAATATATTTGAAAATGTAGAAAACATCCACAAATATTTAAATAAATGGTATTCTATTATTAACAGTGTGATTAATTGCGATTAATTTTTTTAATCGCTTAACAGCCCTAATTGGTACCTTGTCAGCAGCCTAAATCTAATTTGTAGAAATTTGAGAGGATTGTGGCCAATTTTGATTTTAATATGCAGCTATCTCCTGCTAAGACTACTGAACTCAGCATAAAATGCTCCAACTTGATTGAGAGGGTGAATAGTTCAAGATGAAGCGATTGCATATTGGGATCTTCTGGTCTTTTAGGGCTTTAGCACCTATAGCTACCCCATCTAACTCAATGAGCTGCACTCTGGCCATTCCTGTGTTTGTGGGATAGAATGGTTTCCTTTTTGGTGCAAAAGGAGTAAGTGTGATCATCTTGTAGGGTTATTGAATGCAGTGCAAATGGAGAATTTTAAACTGAGTTAACTAGAGCTGAAGTATACTACACAGGGTCCTTTTGAATTTAGAGCATCAGTTGTATTGCCAACCGTAAGCGTTCAAAAATCATGCATTTCAGGCCTCAAAAATTATGACTGGCATAAAGATCATAAGGTATCTTCCTCCCCCCACCCCCCAATGTTTGTGAATAATTTTATTTGTCTGCTGGTTTCTGAGCCTTTAGGGTGCACTTGGTTCACATTTTGAAGCTTTTCTATGCAACCATGAGGACTGGAAATTTACTTTTAAAAAAAGAAAGCTGAGATTCTCACATAACCTCGTGACTCTGGGGCTTTCAGAAAAAAGCCAAATATTGGGGCGAGACTCATGGTAAAATTGCAAGAATTGGCAACATGGCATCAGTTTGATCTTTGCCATTGATTATTACACTTTCCCATTTTCTCTTTAAAAATAGTTACTGGGGCTTCCAGATGTCGATGATGATGCATTTGAAGAATATAACGCAGACGTGGAAGAGGAGGAACCAGAAGCCGATCACCAACAAATGGGTGTCAGCCAGCAGTAATTATCTGAGGAATTAAAAGATCTTAATCCCTTGGTACCAGGTGGGGTCATGTGCTCCTGCATTAGCATTTTTGAATTAGCGCATCACATGGGAAATATGGCTCCCAGAATCAAAGTTTAAAAAAAAAAATAAAAACATAAATATCTCTGTGATGAGCTTTGCTAAGAAGTGACCTGAATTTCACTCCTGTTTCAGTGGGGTTTCTATGGAGTTGTCTTGGTAGCATTCTGCCATCATTAATTTAGAACTAGTTTTGTCGCTGACTGTCTCTTTGACTTGTGTTTTGAGAATAACATTCACTGACATGAATGTAGAGTACTTTGAATGTAGTAACTGTTGAATAGTGTGTGAAGTACTCACATATGACCTTACGGAGGAAAATGAATGCAGAGAATAAATGCAATCTGCACTTTTAGTTTTAATTCAACAATTTTTTTATTTTTTTATTTTTATTTTTTTGCTATACTACCAGTCAGAGTATCAAACTGTGAGAGATTATGCCTGTAAAGCACTAGTTTCATAGTGGTTAATATTGCAGAAGTGCACATAAAGATTGAACAAAAATAATTACTTAGGAGGGACAAAATTTAGGCAAATGCTTGTGCAGCACATTTTAGTGTTTCTTAACACCACCTGAATGTACAGGTGCTGGGTTAATCACTGAGCATAATTAGGACATTTGTGTGATCAGTGCACATGATGATACACATTGGTACTTTGATGCCATCTGTTCCAAAGCCAAATACTGTTTTAATAGAAATTAAATAAATTTAAAATTTCCATTGCGTATTCTCCTCCTGCACGAAAATCAACCTTCAGCTTCGCTGGCTTTAATAAAACAACAACTTTATTCAAATCTTGCAGCATCCTGAATTAAAGTGCAACTTAACTTTGAAGCCCTAATGGTATAAACCAGCACCTGGCTCTTCAAGTTATAATGGAATCCGCTTCTTCACACTGGGCCTTGTTCTTCAGTGTCTTGTACCTTGTGTAGCTATTCATACTTGTCAAAGTGGGTGTAAAATGCTACCAAACCAGAATGGTAGGGCCTGATTCTCATTCTCACTAAGGCCCCTTTACATTGTTCTCGCTGTGTAAAAAGGTCTTGAAGGGAGCACAGATGTAATTTATGCCCACTTTAAGGTCCCTTTACATTGCCTAGGGTGGGTCCTTGGCTGGTGTCAATTGCCTGTGGAATGATGACAGTTTCCATCAGCTGATGACCTGTCCCCCAGAGTGGTGGAAGGGGGTTTTAGAGTAAATTAAAGTAAGACCCATAGTATTTTACACCTCATTTGCCGAGATGTAAGTGACTCTCAAGTGAGTGTCAGATGGTGAAACAACAGGACCTCTTTATTTACTCACCTTTTATTCTGAAAATGTAAGAAAAGAAGGGATTCCATTCTCATACAGCAATTTTCCACTATCTAGGAAAGTATTTCTAAATGACTGTTTGTTTTTAGACAACTTTTTTAAAAACACAAAATGTAGGTCACAAACTTCAAAGCCCTTTAATACAGAGTTAGCTTTATAAAAATTAACACTTAGTGAAGAAAAAATGCTTGGACAACTCTCAGAAACAACTGACACTCTTTTAAAAACCCTGTTATTAGCAGTATCTCCTATTGGATATGTTTGTAAAGGAAATTGTTTTAAAGGCTAGTTAAAGAGTTAATTTTCTTGGTGATTTGTGTGTCTGATGAAGGCTTAGGGGATGCATAACACTTAATTTTCTAACAGAGGCAAAACTTTCTGTAACCAGGATGGAAAATGGTATTTGAATATGCACAGAAGTGTCTGCAACACTGTAAAAGTCTGAGTTTAAGAATATCACAAAATAGACAAGAAACCGAGCTTAATGAAACTTTGTACATTCTCTTGGCATGCAGGCATAAATATGATAGTCGCAACACATTTTCTATGGACTAGTGGTGTGAGAACTGTGGCAGTTCATTGTATAACACTGTACAGCAGTAATAGGCTTTTTGCTTACCAAAATAAAGTGTAATACCAGTGGTTTCCATCCCTGCTTTAAGTACCCAAGTTTTTCTTTCCTTTCCATCTAAAAGAGACTTGTCATAACTTTACACAGGGGCGTCCTTCAGAAGAGCTTTTTGGGGTTACTTCCTTAGGTGCTGATCCTTTGATTCCAGCTCATACAAATAGACCTTTTGGGGCAGATTTTCCTCTGCTTTGAAGCTAAAGCAGTGCATTGTTTGCACCTATGCAAGGTGAGTATAAAATGCTACCATTCTGATTTGCTAACCATTTAAACCGATTTTGCACAGGTGCAAATGACTATGTACACAGCTTCTGATTCTCCCTTACATTAAGGCTCCTTCGCACTGCTCTAACATGGGTATAGATGTAATTTGCAGGAAGCTTAATGCAAATGAGAATCAGGCTGTTTGACTACAATGGGACTATTTCTGTGAGTAAGAGCTATTTGAGTGAGTGAAGGCTGGAGGATCCAGCCCTTGTGAACTACATACAGTGGAGTTGTAATATAGTCTGACTTTGCCACCTTTGCCTGCATTTTGTTAGACTCTGAGCTGCAAATGAGTAGTTGAGCATTAATATGGTTATAAGCAAACATGAAGCTGTAAATTATGAAGATAGATATATTATTTCCTGTGTTCATTTATTTGTTTTTATTTTGAACATCATATGCCATGTGAGTGACTTCTGCAACTTGCCTGGGGTCCTAGCCTGCAGCTTTCACTCCCCTTAAACTCCCATTGAAGCCAGCAAGAGTTTTGCCCATATAAGGACTGAAAATCAGGCTCCTGAAAGGGCCTAGTTCTGCAAAGTGCTGAACCCCCTTGTCTCCGATTGATTTTGTTAGGAGCTGAGCATGTTGAGCCACTGCTGGGTCAGGCTACTACCATGCACCATTTAAAATAAACTGGAATTTTATATAGAGAGGATAAAATATAAATTTACATGTGTCTTAAATGTTGAATGAGCATTAATATAGAATGTATTTGATCAAAAATACTGGTTTCTTAGACTTTGACCATATCCGTTTCTGTGTTGTTATGGTATTGTTTCTTATTTATCAAACAATCTAAGAAATGCTGAATTATCTAGTGGAACCACAAGGGTTCCAAACTTTTTACTATTTTTTTTTTTTTCCTTCTCACTTCCCTTGTCTGAGTTGGAATTATTAGCCACTTACCCAGTAAGTAAAAGGAGGAGTTATGGCCCGGTGGATAGAGCACCGCCTGAGATCCCAGTCCTGCAAACACACGTGGATAAGAGCTTGCAGGGTGGGAGCCTGAGTCAGGGAATCTGGGGTTTCTTATCATCTCTGCCTCTGATTTACTCTTGACTTTAGGTGAGTCACTGGAGTTTTCAGGGGAGCCTGTGAGAGTTACGCATCCAGATCCTGGTGAAATTCAGTGGGAAATGGGTGCCTAACTCCTATATTTTCCTTTGAAAATCTCTTAGTCTCTAAGGTGCCACAAGCACTCCTCGTTGTTTTTGCTGATACAGACTAACACGACTACCACTCTGAAACCTGAATCTTGTACTTCAGTTTCCCAACCGGTAAAATGAAGATGATCCTAATGTTTACTCACCCATATAAAGTGCTTTTCGATCTAGGGATGAACACTGATAAGTATTTTATTATTGCCCGTCCTCAAAGCAGAATGTTGGTGAAAAGACAGTAAAAAAGAATGGGCAAAACCAGTCTTTTTTTCCATGTATAGATATGATTTTCTAACTAAATATAAATGTACCAGAACAGAGACTCTCAGACCTGACTCTTTTGAATCCAAGTTGCACTTTTGCGATGAGCAGAGTGCTGTGTTGGGAGATTCAGAAATAGGTGGAACGTCAGGAAAAAAGGAATAGGTTTTATAAATATTACAGCTATGTTTTGGTGGGGTGAGGGTAGCGCAGGGCAAGAGAGTAGAATGACGTCTTTCAGAAAAAATGCCAGGATTTCTGAGAGATCTTAGACTTCGCTCCAAGCAGTCTGCTTCTGGATCCCATGCAGTCCATAAAGAAACTGCTACATGTTCCTATAAGGTCTCAGTCAGAGGTGTAGTTCTGTGTAGGTTAAAATTAGCATAATGATTGATAAACGTGGGGGTGACAAGTGGGAGGGATGGAGAAAAGATTAACTTGGGGCTTGTCAACACTACAGGCACTGTAGTGACACAGCTGTGCTGCAGTAGCTATGCCACCGTAGCATGATAGTGTAGATGCTTCCTATGTTGATTCATAGATTCTAGGACTGGAAGGGACCTCAAGAGGTCATCGAGTCCAGTCCCCTGCCCTCATGGCAGGACCAAATACTGTCAGACCATCCCTAATAGACATTTATCTAACCTACTCTTAAATATCTCCAGAGATGGAGATTCCACAACCTCCTTAGGCAATTTATTCCAGTGTTTAACCACCCCGACAGTTAGGAACTTTTTCCTAATGTCCAACCTAAACCTCCCTTGCTTCTTGTTCTATCCTTAGAGACTAAGGTGAACAAGTTTTCTCCCTCCTCCTTATGACACCCTTTTAGATACCTGAAAACTGGTATCGTGTCCCCTCTCAGTCTTCTCTTTTCCAAACTAAACAAACCCAATTCTTTCAGCCTTCCTTCATAGGTCATGTTCTCAAGACCTTTAATCATTCTTGTTGCTCTTCTCTGGACCCTCTCCAATTTCTCCACATCTTTCTTGAAATGCGGTGCCCAGAACTGGACACAATACTCCAGTTGAGGCCTAACCAGCGCAGAGTAGAGCGGAAGGCTTTTTCCATCACTGTAGGAACTCCACCTCCCTGAGTGACGGTAGGTAGGCAGACCGAAGCATTCTAACTGGGGGCTCATAGCTATGCTGACCTGGGCTCAGAGGTGTGGGTTTTTCACACCCCTGAGTGCTATAGCTATGTTGACCTACATTTTAAGTGTAGACCAGGCCTAAGAGACCTTTTTTCCTGGCGTTGGTATTTATTTATTTGTATTGTGGTAGCATAGGAGCTCCAGCCATGGACCAGGACCCCATTGTGCTAGGAGCTGTCCAAACACAGAACAAAAAGACCCCAAAGAGCTTGCTCTGGATACAGGCAACTAATTTTAGAGACAAACTAAATTCTTTGTTCACGAACACAGATGTGGGGACTAA